CAACCACCCATATGTCCTTGACCGTCATTTGCGATTGTAGCCCTCATGGGACAAATAGTCTCGTGGCCGAAGTACACTGAGAAACACATGACCTAGCACCTAGGGACCGGTGCTGGATTCATCAAGAAACTTGACGATGTGCGTCTATACATATATATGTATATATCTACCTAGCTTGGGATGGCTTTGGATCTAGGTTCCGGCCTTTAGGGTTTTGGATGCCAGGCTTTAGGGTCTTTAGATTGGTTGTTCTCAAAAGTATGGGCCCATTTTGGTTTTAGGTTATACTACGGCACCTAATATTCAGGGGTACCAACATGGGACCCTAATTTTGGGAGCTACCCAGATGGGCCTTTGCTATTGCCTTGTGTGGCCGCTTGGAGGAGTGCTTGCATGTTGCTTCTCTCAAAAAATTAGGGAGGCAATACTGCTGCGCAGCTGTATGGAGGTCAGATGGATCAATGTTTATTTGTGTGTGTATATATATACACATGTATAGCGTGTGTGGTTTTGGTTCATTGGGTGCATGGATGCTTGGGTTCTTAGAGATTGCATAAAAGAGGCACCATCAGGAGCTTGCAATATGGTTGGGAATAAAGGTAGGCATGGCGAATGTTTGGATAATTTCGCGCAGCATTAACCGAGGTCTTACCCCCAGGACTAAACCCCAAATCCCAAATACATAAACCACTGAGCTGAAGCCCATTACTTCTGCCTCCTCGGCATGTGGCAATTGGATCGCATGAAATGCCGTAGTCCTGTTGCAGGCAGGGAAAGGTTGACAGTTCACGGGGGTTCAGGGGGCCTCGGGCTTTGCAACAGCAACTTCGGTTTGCGGAGTCTAGAGACTTCAAGTTCTCTAGAGCCCTGAAGGCAAACAAGCATGCAACCTTGAAGAGAGGCCTGTGTAGACTTTCATGGGAGTTTGTCTGATTTTATTTTCACCAACGAGGAATTCTATATAGAGACCCGTGTTGTAAAAGGAACTTTAGTAGACGAACCTGTGCGTTGCTAATTTTTGCGGAAGATACTTCGATGGGATTCCATGTTGGTTCGTAAGGAGAGTTAGTTGACCATGAGCCGCAAGCAATGCCCCAAGGTTCCGTCTACAACCTGGGTTGCTGTTAAGGAACTTAAATTAAGTTACCATAATGGGAATATGTAGTAAATAGTAGGGTTTCCCCAATATAGTAACTTCATTTAAGTTCCTTAACAGCAACCCAGACAACTGCTGGCTACTTGACGGGTTTCGAAGACCTCAACAATTCGACTGGGTCAGGAGACTAGCGCTTCGGCTGAGGACTCGAGACTGTAAAAGACTACAATGCTACAGCACATGTTCTGGGGAAGTATGAAGTAGTGCTACCACAAACCCTAAACCCCAAACCGCGTGGGTGCCTGGACATCTCAGGCAATCAAAGAATAAGCCCTGTTCAAGCAAAGGACCGATGATGGGGATCCCTGAGAAGATCCTATGACATCCCTCAGACTTAGTTCTGAGAAATAGGGTTTAGGATATACGGTTTAGGATATAGGGTTTCGGATACAGGGTCTAGGGTTTAGGAGATAGGGTTTAGGATATAGGGTTCAGGGTTTAGGGTACAGGGTTCAGGGTTTAGGGCTATAACATCCCTCATGCTTCTGAGAAATAGGGTAAGTCAGAAGAATAGAAAAGACGGTGCAATATTTCCTTCATCCACATCGAACCTAGATCCTGATTCTGGAGCCCCATGCCACATGTCCTCAGGACAATTTAAACCGTTCTAGCCAAAACCCTAAATCCTAAACCCTTAAACCCTAAACCCTTAAACCCTTAAACCCTAAATCCTAAACCCTTAAACCCTAAAACCTAAACCCTTAACCCTGAAACTTCGGTCCTCCAGCCAGAACGACCTGTTGCAAAGACCCGGCGCGCTGCCTCGGAAGCCGAAAGCTGTGATAGCACCTACGTACATGTTTTTGGGGTTTAAGGGTTTAGGGTTTAAGGTTTTTTGTTTTTTTTTGGAGGTGAGGGGGGGGGGAGGGGGGGGCGGATAAATTGTCGTCTTCCATAACCCAATATGATGGACCCCAAAACACTATAATCCTTATTCTGGGGGCCCCCAAAACAGTATACATAATCTTGGGAAATCCCCAAGTTGAGCCTAGAGTTTAAGGGTTTATGGAGACACCTGGTGAATAGCTTGCATGCCTCTCTGGAAAGCAAGCATTTGCTCGCTTGATTCCTGGGCACCACCAGACCCTAAACCCTAAATCCTATATACTAAACCCTAAATCCTAAACCCTACACCCTAAACCCTAAATCCTAAACCGTAAACCCTGAACCCTGAACCGCATAGATTCAACAAATTGTCCAACCACAAACCCTGGCGACCTAGCTGCTGGGTTTCCTTGCCCAACGAACCTCAACCTTCTAATCGAACCTCCTGAATCAGGGTAATTCTAGCTAGTTGTATATAGGGATGAAAATGGAAACTAGTATAATGGGTTATATAGGGTATATATTGAGGCTATATAGTAATATAGAATAATTGCAATTCCAAATTTAAGGTCATTTTGATGTTATTCCCTATATAAGCCACCATTTAAGGTGAGGTCGGGTGAGGTCGCTTTAAATTGCCCTCTTAAATGGTTCAGTTGCTACCCCTATTTACAGGGGTTATATTTAGGGATAATGGAAAAGAACATGGAAACTACTATACATTCCCCAAAGCTTAAATCCTAATTCCTGCACCCCAACAGTCTCTAAAATCATAGCCGACCGAAAACCGCCAAAATTTGTCTACATACTTTGGGAAGGTTTTGAACCCTGACGGGAAGATCTGGTAAAAGCAAGGCCCCTGCCGCCCGGGAGGTAATTGCCGTTGGTCGCGCAGGGCTGTAGAATGCCTACCGCTACTCATGGTTTAGGAAGGAAGTTTTAGCGTTTAGGGTCTGGAGTTTAAGATGTGGGGTTTAGGGCTTCAGCTTTACTATCCAGGGCTTCAGGTTTAAGGTTTAGGGTGTAACGTTAATGGCTTTCAGTGAAAGGTTTAGGGTTGGAGGTGTGGGGTTTCAGGTTTGGGTTTAAGGCTTCCGGTCTAACTATTAAGGTTTTAGGGGTCCTCTTTGGAGGATTCCATAAGGACAACATGTCGAGTGGTTTGACGCTTAAGGTCTAATACAATCTTGACCCACTGGGGGGCTTATTGATCATCTTCGAGAAGCAAGTATATTGGGGCTATAGAGGGAT